CGTACGGTTCGATAATGAACTATATGTGAACTATAGCCCTCATTTAGGCTTAGCCGTAGCCCCTGTGTGGGAGGTACCAGAAGGCATGGACCGATATTCCCCAAATTCGGACTTGAACTAAATTTGGAAGAAATAATAAGATGGGATGAAATCAAATTTTTCTGAAACGGATTTGGTCCAAAGAAACATGGGGTCTAGAACCAATATTTCGTTGAGGCACATTTTCAACGTGTGAAAGTGTATACACACTAATTAGGTATAAGGCTGAGGGTATAATTTTCTATTAAAAAATATTGCTTTCATAATCGGTTTGTAGAAATGTCGGTATAGGTTCATTTTTGGTATGTTCCCTATAGTTTCATTTCAAGTACCTGCCAGTATATCTATGGTGGAGAGTATCCAAAGTTCGGCCCGGCCGGACTTAACGCTTTTCCCTTGTTTTTTTTTCTTAATTTCACTACACTTAATTTATGTTACCCCTAGACAAAATATTATTTAAACCCTTGATAGACTCTTCATCCTCCTGATGCTATTATTTTTATATTTTTTATACACATAGTTTTTTGTTGTTGTTATTGTTGCTGCTGCTGTTAATAATCACGATGATGATGTACACAGTTGATGATTATTTTTTTTTCTTCTTGCATTTATTGTTCTATGTAATGCACTTAAGCTTAAGCTATTGTTGATTTTTTTTGTTGTGTTTGTTGTTAAAGTCGACATCTACACTGCAGCAGCTGCTGCCACTGTTGTTGTTTTTGTTGCAAAGTAGTTGCAAGGACTATTATGATATCCTGCAACGCTATCTAAACTATGCCATTGTCTGGGTGTCTAAACAAGGCAACAACAACACCGACGACGACGACGATGCTGATACTGATGACGAGAATAGATAATGTAAAAGGATAATGTTGATAATGCTTTGTCAACAATTGTGTATCACTCTAAAGTATGTATGTACACTTATGCTCACGGGGTGCGATACCCATAGTGTGGGTGAGAGATGGCCACAAAAGGGGTACCCTGAGTGCAAAAGTATCCAAATGGTTTCGTAAATGCAGGAGATTATCAGTTAGCTGTGTGGTATGGGTATTTACAAACTATACGGATGGCGGGCTTAAGTTGTGCATTTAAGGTGATTGGTGATATAGAGGCTAGGAAGGAGGAAAAGAGGTTTTAAAGGTGGCAGTTCTCAAAAAATATTTTTAAAAAATCCAAGCCCTATTCCCTTTCTAAAAATTTTTTTTCTTAAAAATAATTTTCAAAAAATTTGTTTCCATAAAATTTAAACGGAAAAGGGGTCTCCTTAAACAAAAAAAAAAAAAAACACAAAACGACCACCCACACACACAAACGCAGTTACTGATTTTGTGCACGCTGTGCCTGTGAGTTCATCACAGTTGTTGCCATCATCATTTCCCAGGATTCCCCAGTAAGTGTTACATATCAACTTGTTGTTCTTGTTTGTTGTTGCTGTTGCAATGATAGATGAGTGTTAAGTAAATGTGAAAAAAGCTACATTAAAGTAAATTAAGGATTAAGTATAGCAAATATTCTCAGAATATAATTTGCAAGGGACATCCAACCAACCAACCCACCTACCTCCCTTAATGGCAACAGCTGAAATGTAACCACTTGAAGACAATGAACCAGTGGGTGAAAAAAAAAACATAGAAACTAGGAAGTACATAATGAACGAGACCATAAGTAGGAAGCAGGAACGACAACGAACTTTAATGTGAATTTCTAGCTTACTGGGGAAACTTGAAGCTTTTTTTTGCATAAGTCAAGTGGGTAAAGGCAAGGCATCTACCTAAGCCACTGATGCTGTGCTGTGCTACTGTAGCACTTGTGGTGGTGACTCTGGTGTTTGGTTTTCTCGTCGTTTCCTTTTCTCCCACGTTGTAATCACTTAATTAGGAAATGTCACTTTAAAGTGGAACATTTTTAGTGTTTGTCAACTCCTTCCATTAGCTCGTTACATCAACTCGTTTTGGTGTTTTGTAAATATGTTGTTTTTTCCCCATTCGCTTTAAGATAGATGGCATCGGAGGGAATTTTTATTATGATGATGTATTTGAAGTTAGGGAATTTAATTAAGAAACATAATTTTTAACGCTCATTATCAAATTAAGCATGAGGACTAGAGGAGCTACAAGCTAAAAGCATGGACATTTATTTTATTATTTTTTTAATCGTCAATAACGTGTGGATTTTTTTTAAAAAATTTTTCAAGGACTCCAATAAGGCGTGGATTTTTATACCCATCACCACACTGTAGTACAGGGTATTACGTCTTTGTGCATAAGTTTGTAACAGGCAAAAGGAAACGAGATAGACACATGGTTTCTTTTGAGAATATGCATAGAATCACTTTCTGAGTCGATTTTCGCATGTCCGTCAGTCCGTCCATGTATTTTTGTGAACAAACTACAGGTCGCATTTATGATCCGATTTGGATAAAATTTGGCACAGCTCATTTGTTTGGCACAAGGACGAACCCTATTGAAATTGGGAAACATCGGTTCAGATTTAGATATAGCTCCAATATATATTTTCGTCCGATATAGGCACCAAAGTCCCTATATATATATTAGGATTTGTACGAAATTTGGCATGTCGTACTGTATTAAGCCTGGAATGATGTGTGTTAAGTTTCGAGAAAATCAGGTCAGATTTAGATATAGCTCACATATATCTTTTCGTTCGATTTAAGGTAAATGGGCCACCAAAGTCCCCATATATCTTCCGATTTGCACAAAATTTGGCATAGCGTACTATATGAGGCCTAGAATGATGTTTCGGGAAAATCGGTTCAGATTTAGATATAGCTCCCACATATATGTTCCTCCGATTTAAGTTAAATGCTGCACCAAAGTCCCTACATATCTTTCGATTTGCAGGAAATTTCGCACAGCGAATTGAATTAGGTCTGGAATTATGTACGTTAAATTTCTTTAAAATCGGTTCAAATTTAGATATAGCTCCCATATATAGTTTCCCCCGATTTTAGATAAATTGTGCACCAAAGTCCCTAAAAATCATTCGATCTGCACAAACTTTGGCATAGCGTACTAAATGAGGTCTAGAATGATATGTTCTAAGTTTCGGGAAAATCGGTTCAGATTTAGATATAGCTCTCATATATATTTTCGCCCGATTTAAGGTAAATGGTGCACCAAAGGCCCTATATATCTTTCGATTTGCATGACATTTGGCAAAGCCGAATGATTAGGCAAAGAAAATCCGATGCTCCCATATATAGCTTGATAGTCCACTAAAGTCCCTGGAAATCTTTTGAAGTGCATAGCGGAATTAAGTAAATGTGTGTGCCAAGTTTCGAGGAAATCGGTTTAGATTTAGATATAGCTCCCATATATAGTTTCGTCCGATTTAAGGTAAATGGTGCACCAATGTCCCTATATATCTTTCGATTTGCACGAAATTTGGCACAACGTACTAAATTAAGTCTAGAATGATATGTGTTTAGTTTCCCGAAAATCGGTTCAGATTTAGATATAGCTCCCACATATATGTTCGTCCGATTTAAGTTAAATGGTGCACCAAATTCCCTATATATCTTTCGATTTGCAGGAAATTTCGCACAGCGAATTGAATTAGGTCTGGAATTATGTACGTTAAATTTTTTTTAAAATCGGTTCAGATTTAGATATAGCTCCCATATATAGTTTCCCCCGATTTTAGATAAATTGTGCACCAAAGTCCCTAAAAACCATTCGATTTGCACAAACTTTGGCATAGCGTACAAAATGAGGTCTAGAATGATATGTTCTAAGTTTCGGGAAAATCGGTTCAGAGTTAGTTATCGCTCCATTAGATAGTTTACTCCGATTTAAGGTAAATGGTGCACCAAAGGCCCTATATATCTTTCGATTTGCACGAAATTTGGCACAGCCTAATGATGTAGGTCTAAAGTGATGTGTGTTAAGTTTCGTGAAAATCGGTTCAGATTTAGATATAGCTCCCATATATAGCTTCGATAGTCCACTAAAGTCCCTGGAAATCTTTTGATTTGCACGAAATTTGGCACAACGTACTAAATTAAGTCTAGAATGATATGTGAAAAGTTTCGTGAAAATCAGTTCAGATTTAGATATAGCTCCCATATATAGCTTCGCACGATTTTAGGTAAATAGTCCACTAAAGTCCCTGGAAATATTTTGATTTGCACGAACTTTTGCATAGCGTACTGAATTAGGTCTAGAATGACGTGTGTCAAGTTTTGTGGAAATTGGTTCAGATTTAGATATAACTCTCATATATATTCTCTTCCGATTTTACGTAAATTGTGCACTGAAGACCTAAAGTTCGGCCGATTATCACACAATTGTGTACAATGTACTAAAGTTAGTAAAATCTTAAGTGGGTCTAGGCTTATTGAAATCGATTCAGATTTAAATATAGATCCTATATATATTTTCCCCGAGTTTATGTAAATAGTGCACTTAAGACCCTTAGCTAAGCCGATTGCCACAACGTACTTTAATAAATATAAATTAATCTCCGGCAAGTTTCCCTGAAATCGGTTCAGCTTTAGATATAGCACAGCTTCCATATATAATTTCGACTTATTTGTGTTAAAAAAATTTAGCATAGGTTGCAGAAAGGCATGTGTAGGGATTGATGTTAGTCGGCTTACAAAAAAAAAATAAAGATCACATTTTTTGTTGTTCAATTTCATGTCACCGTTCCTTCGAAAAGGCGACGTATGTTAGGATACATATGTAAAATATACCAAAAGTGGTGAAGGGTGTTATATAGTCGGCCCAGTCCGACTTTACTACTTTCTTTACTTGTTTAAAAATATTTTTTATATGGTGTTTATAAAACATTTGTTAGTCAGTTTATCAGTTCGAGGCTCTGATACACGTATACATATATTACCCTGAAAATCCGGGTGCTATTGATATCGATGATTTTCAACTACATTCTCTATTTTGATAAAAAAAAGATAATTTTTTTCTGGTATCCTCACTTACCTGGTATATTATTATTGGCATATGCCGATTTTGTCAACAGTAATATTATGAAGAATACAATTGTCAGATGAAACGATGACTTAAGCCAATAGCACAGCTGATCAACTTTCAACTGTGGACAACGCAGAGAGATTGTTGGCAATGATGCTGACGATAGTGGCGATGCTGATGTTCTTAGTGGTGACGATTGCGATGCTGGCGAAGATGCTGCTGCTGAGGTGATTGTAGAATTCGTTGATTTTCCATAGGACGACGTCACTGCGAACTCCGCCACAAACGGCGTCGTCGCTGTCGTCGTCGTCACTAACGTTGGTGATGAGGTTGTTGCTGTTCGATTTGGTGCTGCTACTGCTGCTGCAGCGACTTTTCGCTGTCGCTGTGATTTTGTTATTGTCGTCGTCGCTGCAGGTAATAATGTTGGCGATGGTGGCGGCCTTTGATATCGCAGTTGAGACGTTGTCACTGTGACCGGGGAACGACAATACTTTAACGTCTCCAGTATCGTTGTGGTTAGTGACAATTCGGTTAAGCGGTTTTGTTGTTGGTGTAATGTTGGTGTTGCTGCTTTTAGTGTAGCAACAGCAGCAGCAGCTGAGATTTTAGTTCTTTGGGCTGATGATTGATAGGGTATTTGATAATCGTTATGTTGCAGCTGTGGTAGTAGCTGCTGGTGTTCTTGGTTTTGTTGTTGATTAATTGTTGTTGTTGCTGTGGTATTATTTGATAATAGGGTGTTATTGTTATTAGACGTTATATTAATATTTGAATTTCTTATGTTGTTACTGTTGCCTATATTATTTGTGGCGAACGTTGAACGCGTTCGGCTTAATGCCTGACACCGCCGGTAAGACCCAGGGTCCGCACACATACCCATGCCTCTGGTCCCATAGCCAATAACGCTAATGGATCTTCCTCATTGCAGCGGCGTCATCTGGAATAAGAAAGACAAAAATAGGAAAATAAGTTTTTTTTAATAATTTTTCAAAGACTATACCAAGCGTGGATTTTTTAAAGAATATTTTTTCAAGGACTATACAAGGCGTGGCTTTTTTAAAGAATGTTTTTTCAGGGACTATACAAGGCGTGGATTTTTTATACAATATTTTTTCAAGGGCTAACACAAGGCGTGGATTTTTTAAACAATATTTTTTCAAGGGCTAACACATAACACACCACAGTGTGGTGGTACAGGGTAAATTTTAGGTAAATGGTGGATCAAAGTCCCTGAAAATCATTCGATTTTCACGAATTTTGGCATAACGTACTGAATTAGGTCTAGAATAAAGTATGATTTTTAAAGAATATTTTTTCAAGGACCAACACAAGGCGAGAATTTTTAAAAGAATATTTTTCAAGGACCAACACAAGGCTTGGATTTTTTAAGATAATTTTTTCAAAGATCAACACTAGGCGTGGATTTTTTAAGATCATTTTTTCAAGGATTTTTTAAGATTATTTTTTTAAGGGCCAACACAAGGCGTGGATTTTTTAAAGAATATTTTTTCAAGGGCCAACACAAGGCGTGGATTTTTTAAAGAATATTTTTTCAAGGGCCAACACAAGGCGTGGATTTTCTAAAGAATATTTTTTCAAGGACCAACAAAAGGCGTGGATTTTTTAAAGAATATTTTTTTCAAGGACCAACACAAGGCGAGAATTTTTAAAAGAATATTTTTCAAGGACCAACACAAGGCTTGGATTTTTTAAAGAATATTTTTTCAAGGGCCACCACAAGGCGTGCATTTTTAAAGAATATTTTTTCAAGGACCAACACAAGGCGTGGATTTTTTAAAGAATATTTTTTCAAGGACCAACACAAGGCGTGGATTTCTAAAAGAATATTTTTTTTAAGGACTATACAAGACGTGGATTTTTAAGGAATATTTTTTCAAGGACTATACAAGACGTGGATTTTTAAAGAATATTTTTCATGGACCAACACAAGGCGTGGATTTTTTAAAGAATATTTTTTCAAGGACTATACAAGGCGTGGATTTTTTAAAGAATATTTTTTCAAGGACTATACAAGACGTGGATTTTTTAAAGAATATTTTTTCAAGGACTATACAAGACGTGGATTTTTAAAGAATATTTTTTCAATTTTTTAGGGAATATATTCCAAGGAAAAACAGAGCATCAAATTTTTTAAGAATAAATTTTTTACAGAATATTTTTCCAAGGACCAACAGAGCATCAATTTTTTACAGAATATTTTTCCAAGGACCAGCAGAGCATAATTTTTTAAAGAATATTTTTCCAAGGACCGAGAGATCGTGATTATCTGCCTTCGTCCACGTCAGGTCCTTCTCCCATTCATCTGCTACACACTTGACAACTACAAATCATCGAAAATCTCTCTTGAAAGTTGACAATACGAAACAAAAAACAAAAACATTAAATTGAGAGTAACAAAAATACACACACAAACTAAACATGACCCAGTGAAACTGTTTCAGTATTTGAGGATAAATTGTCACATAACACTAATCAGAACAAGGGTAAATCCTTAACTAATACTACTGCTAGCAATCCGAGTAGTAGTTGTAGTAGTGGCCTTTATCAAATATACTTAGGCTTTGGAATACCCACAAATACCCCAAGGATTGATGTTGTTGTTGATGATGATGAAACTAAATTAGAATCACAAAAGACGAACAGAAGCAAACAAAGCCAAACGACAAGGACTAAGACAAAAGAATAACAAAACAGAAAAAGAAATAAAAAGTTTCTTCTTAACTAAGAAGGTTCGATTTGTCTAACAAGAAATTTACAAAAAAAGGAAAACAAATATATGTATACGTATGTATGTAAATGTATGAGTGCATGTGGGTGTGTTTTAGCACAGCACATGAAAACTTTGCCAAAAACCATTTTAACATAAAATCATTAATCATTTTTCCTATTTCTTGTTCTTCTTTGTTTTCCTATATATGTAGTTCCTTCGTTGCCAGGGCAATAATGATAACCACCAATACACCTTTAATATATGTGAAAACTTTACTTTGGATATGAAGCCAAGTGCACACAGACACACACACACATATTACCATGTTTACCAAAACCTTTTGCCATTTCCTGTAGTGCATAACGTAACTAAACGAAGGTAGAACAATAAAGTCCTTAGCAGAAAAAAACTTTTCTGATAAATTTCAATAACAACAACTTTTGCCAAGCGAATTTTATAGGGCAATCTGTGTGGGTGTTTGAATGTGTCTGCGCGCGTATGTGTTTGTAAGTAGTTTCTTTGGAGAAAATCCTTATTTCTTAGCATAAACTCGAGGAAAAACACATACACACCAATTATATCTCAGACGTAAACAAATAACATTATTGATGTTTGGCTTATAACACAAATAGGAGAATATAGGTCTTACGTAGTTAGCTTAGTATAAGGATATCGAGGTAGCAAAGAGGAATGAGTCCATGCCACCAGTTTTTTTATCTTTAATTCTAACTAATATTTTATGGTGTAAGGTATAAGAATTTTTTCAAACTCTCACAAAACTACTAAGGAAAGTGGTAAAGTCGGACTGGGCCGACTATATCATACCCCGCACGATTTTGGTATATTCTACATATATATTTAATAGACGTCGTCTTTTCGAAGGAACGTTAACATGAAATTGAACGGACATAAATATCTGATCTTTATCTATATGTGAACCGACAAACATTAATACCTACATATATTCTGAAACCTATACTAAGTTTCATTTCATACGGGCAGATTTGGAGTCGTTTGCGGACAATGGGACAAACTTATTTAAATCGATTTATAGAAAACTTAATACACTCTATTCGGTATGCCGCACTTTTAAAAATTTAATCTCAAAAAGACACTCGTGCGAAACATATATGGAAGCTATGTCTGCATCTGCACCAATTTATACAAAATGCATAACGTCGTGCCTATCGGACAAACATTAGGAATTTGGTGCACCATTTACATAAAATATATATGGGAGCTATATCTGAATCTGAACCGACCTTCACGAAACTTAGCACAAATCATTCTACACTAATTTCAGTACACTATGCCAAATTTCGTGCAAATCGGAAGATACGTTCGGACTTCGGTGCACCATTTACCTTAAATCGGACGAACATATTTATGCTAGCTATATCTAAATCTGAACCGATTTTCACGAAACTTATCAAACATCATTCTAGGCTTCTAAATCGAAAGATATTTATTTAACATTGACAGACGAACGGATGGACATGCATTAATCGACTTTTTTTAAAAAATATTTTTTCAAGACCTTGCACAATCAACGGCGTGGATTTTTTAAAGAATATTTTCAAGACCTTGCACAAGCAACGGCGTGGATTTTTTTAAAGAATATTTTTTCAAGACCTTGCACAGGCGTGGATTTTCTAAAGAATATTTTTTCAAGACCTTGCACAGGCGTGGATTTTTTCAAGACCTTGCACAGGCGTGGATTTTTTCAAGACCTTGCACAGGCGTGGATTTTTTAAAGAATATTTTTTCAAGACCTTGCACAGGCGTGGATTTTTTAAAGAATATTTTTTCAAGACCTTGCACAGGCGTGGATTTTTTAAAGAATATTTTTTCAAGACCTTGCACAGGCGTGGATTTTTTAAAGAATATTTTTTCAAGACCTTGCACAGGCGTGGATTTTTTAAAGAATATTTTTTCAAGACCTTGCACAGGCGTGGATTTTTTAAAGAATATTTTTTCAAGACCTTGCACAGGCGTGGATTTTTTAAAGAATATTTTTTCAAGACCTTGCACAGGCGTGGATTTTTTAAAGAATATTTTTTCAAGACCTTGCACAGGCGTGGATTTTTTAAAGAATATTTTTTCAAGACCTAAACCAGGCGTGGATTTTTTAAAGAATATTTTTTCAAGACCTAAACCAGGCGTGGATTTTTTAAAGAATATTTTTTCAAGACCTAAACCAGGCGTGGATTTTTTAAAGAATATTTTTTCAAGACCTTCCACAGGCGTGGATTTTATATTTGCTTAATTGTATTTTATCATTTCATTTTTCTCCAATATTTTTAAGTCACACATCATGGGAATTCGTCTAAAAATAAATACCAATAAATTTGCTTTAGCGGTTTCAATGCCACAGTAAATCTATACACAATACAAAAAGGTTCGTGTGATAAAGATATCTGAAACCACAATGAGAAACTTTGAATGTCATCTCTTTATACCAGTACACGATAAACCACCTACCCACCCCTCCTCTATAAATTGAGCCTTGTTTCGTATCATATCATTAATGAATGCCAAGAAAAGTTTAACGGCTCTTTAGTTTTTGTACGTTGTTCGAGTTGAGAGTTGGCAAAAACGTATTAAAAACTATCGAACAGATAACACTATTTCATGGTAGCGGAAAACTTTTGATTGTAGTGGGTGGTTGGCTGCGGCAGGAATGGGAGTGAGATGTGAGAAAATTCAATGTGCAATGGTATTATGTCGCGAATATCTAAGTTTATGTGTTCGGTTCTGGTGTGAGTTGACATTAAAAGTGTTTTATGATGGCTGAAGCAGAGGCAGTGGTAGCGACAGCAGCAGCATCTACAGCCCGACAACCGTAAGAGTGTAATTCCTATTGTCGGTTTGTGGTTTTACTAATTTCACATGTGTTTTTCCACATTTCTTTCCGTTCTTTTTCATTTCTATGGGTTTTTACTACGGCAATGCTAGCATCGTAGAACATTTAACATAAATTCCGTTTTAGTGTCAATGTGTGTGTGAGTGTTTTGTGTGCACGTTTGTATGCATGTGAAATTTAACGTATGGACTGCCTTTGAATATAAACTGTGTATATCTGTGTGTGTGTGTGTGTGTGTGTAATGATGGGTTCTTGTTTATGATGGTGGGAGGTTGTTTTTTACATA